AGGTATCAGGTATTTTGTCAGAATAGGAAGGCTATGCCAAAATCTAGATCAAGCCAGAATCCCAGGTATTGGTACTTTTTAAATAACAGCACTTTTTAACTTGAATTATTATTATTTATTTATTTATTTATTTATTTTTTTGAGTCGGAGTTTCGCTCTTGTTACCCAGGCTGGAGTGCAATGGCGCGATCTTGGCTCACCGCAACCTCCACCTCCTGGGTTCAGGCAATTCTCCTGCCTCAGCCTCCTGAGTAGCTGGGATTACAGGCACACGCCACCATGCCCAGCTAATTTTTTTTTTGTAGTTTTAGTAGAGACGGGGTTTCACCGTGTTGACCAGGATGGTCTCGATCTGTTGACCTCATGATCCACCCGCCTCGGCCTCCCAAAGTGCTGGGATTACAGGCTTGAGCCACCACGCCCGGCCTGAATTATTTTTAAAAGTTTTATCTTTCTAAGTGAGCAACTAATGCAGAATAAATTGAATGCTAATTCCAGAATATACAAATCCTGACTTCTAATATATCATGAAAGTCATGCATTTGTCTTAGTTTTTATCCTATTTTTGTCTTTAACCAGAGTTTTTAAAATGATCATATTACAAACATGAAATCTTATTAGAAAATCCAGCACCCAACAGAATCACATACTGTTTTTAACTATATGGAACGTTAAAGACAAGGTGTTATTAAAGTATCTTTTCCTTTTTCTCTTCAAAATATACACATCCAACAGACATACCGAAAAAAGCCAATGAAGAAAGATCTGCAAGAGCCACCTGCAGGGAAAGAAGTCAAGAATGGTTTCTCCAAAGCCTACTTCACTGCCGCGAATGGCGTGATGAACAAGAAAGCACAATAAAGACGAGTCACAGAGAAAGCACATAGACTAGCCTCACAGATTCGCTTGTTTTAAAGCAAAGACTGAATTGAACGTTACATGTTTTAGGATAAACTAATTTCTTTTGAGTTTATAAATCATTTGTACCCAGAATCTAGTACTATATTGTTATTAGGTTAATCTGTTAACTGAATGCTTTGATCAGCATTGAGGTGATGCTGACCTCCAAGGACCTCAGAACTAACTGGTGCAGCTTCTCCCTCCCTCCTTCCCTCCCACAGACTGAACCTCCGGCCAGAAGCTGTCCTTGTAACGCCTTACACGCATACACAGCCAGGAAACGTGGAGCACTGTTTCTCACAGAAAGTCTTCAAATAAAAAGAGTTTTGTTCAGATGAAAATGTTTAAAACAAAACATTAATTATATTCTAAATACAGGGTATGTTCTAATCTGTATGAAGCAATAATTGCCAGTGCATAATTTGTTCCTTTAGCAGTTGACCCCAGAAAATATTAGCGTGGGATCATACACGAAAGATAGAAAAATGTAGCCAAACTTCCTTCTCTAAGCCAGAGTCTTGTCTGTCAAATGCCCACAACCTCTCCTGATTCTAAACTCAGTGATACAGTAATGAAACTGATATTTATTTTATTTTAAAGATTAGTTATTCTAAGGAGAAAAAAAATGCTTCTGCCATATTTTCCTAATTCAGGGGCTTTGGATAGGATTGTTCCTCCGTTTCCCTAATCAGTCATCAGTTCATGTCTCCCTCCTGTGCCAGACAGCCTAGGTTACTAAAGACGCCATGCTCTACACCACGGGCAGAGTACAACTCTGGCTGCCCATTTCCCTTCTGAGCAAGGACTGGAGTCCACTTTAAAATCTTTGAACATACATGCCACTAGAATATGTATAAATCAGAACTAGTGGAGTGATGGGGGCAAAATAGGCACTGAAGTTGTCAACTCTTTTTTGTCAGTCTATACTTGTGACTATGACCGCAGATACCTGTTGTCACTCTTTGCAGGTTATTTAAGTTTTTGAAACTGGGAGGAAAAAGATGGAGTAGCTTGGAAAGATTCCAGCACTAAGCCATGGGCTGATAATGAGCCACGATAAAAAATGCCGGTTTGGCAAACTCAGCACTCCCATTCCCTGCTCAGGTATATCCAGTCTCTACTGAGAAGCAAGCACAAAAGCAGACAAAAGTACTAGTGAGCATTTTCTTTCCCCCTAAGTGCAGGACTGTTACTACTAAACTCTACCAGAAATGGAAACAAAGAATATTTTCTAAAGATTTTTTTGAAGATTAATTTTTTAAATAAGTTTTTGGGTCCTGACACTGACATCAAATACACACGCACCAGAAAGGCATTTCCACCACTCTCCCCACTCGTTACCGTCCAGCGTGCCTTTCTGTCTCTTTCTGCTTTTTTTCCCCAATAAGCTCTAGTTTAAAATTTTTCCCTGTTAAAAAAAATTGTACTTTTACTTTATGTAAACTACCCTTCTGAGGATTTGGGCATATTTTTTGAAGGTGCCTAATGCTTAGGATCATCTTGAGGGTGATGCACTGCACCTGTGTCCTTCCCTTCTGTGCATCCGACCCATTTCTGTTGAACAGATGTCTCCTGTCTAATGCCCCTTCCTCTTCCATTTATCTCTCTTAAGTCATTTTCTGAAACTCACTTGTCTAGGGTGCTTCATCACCACTTCCGTCTTGCATCACCTTATAACTGTACTCACTGTCTGGTTCTCTGCCAGCAATTCATTTTAAAACAAGGGCTAGCTTCAAGCATGACTGTTACGGCTCCTCTATGACAAAACACAAGTTTGACCAAGGAGAAAGCCGCTTGGAGAAACTGGACCCTAGTTCAGTTTAGGTCTCAAACAGAGGTTAAAATCTCTTACCAAAGTACGTTCCAGGTGAAAATGAGACTTAGAGAAAAGCAGGCTGGTCTAACATGCTTGCTGGTCATCACATTCATACTTCCCAGTGAGGCCCTGAGGTCTCACTGCACAGCATACCTGCCACTTTGGATGTTTCCATGGGCTTCATATCTGTATGGCAAGGAGGGATTGTCCTTTAGCAGACAAAGTCAAGCAACATTAAGTTCAAGGCAGCTTGAAACCTCTCTGATCAAAGTGAAAAATGTGGTTTATACTTTCAAACCAATGCCAGGGATTAGAGACAGGTTTCATTCAGGATGCATATTTCCAATTTGGTCTTTAATTCAAGAGAAGCTTCATAAAACACATATAGCCTTAAACCACTCAAGGGCTAATTAAAAAAATAGAGTTATGAAATCTCAGCCACAAAAAAAATAAATCAGGTAAAATTTTAACCTGTTAAGTGTTGTAAACGTCAAAAAACCAAAATGCTTATTTTAATGTATTTCTAAAACTACTGAAAAATTAATATTTCTATAACCTATTAAAGAAAAAAATGGAAAATGTTTTCTCTCAATTTCCTGTTACCCATAGGAATTAAAACTTAAATACTGTAAAGCATATCAGTTATTCCCTCAGTTTTTAAAATTAACAAAATGGAATGTTAATGGAATTAAATTTTCAAGCCATCGAAATTATATATTAAACTAGTTATGTTGCAGGGTAAAGTCCTCACCCCTACATTAGAAAAATATTTTTTTCTTTTAAGGCAAAACAGTATTTACTCTGATGAGCAGAATAGCATTTTGTATGTAAGAGTCCATTTCAGTTCTTTTCAATATTTCCATATTGTTTTGTGAATGTTTCTTGGGGCTCACTTATTTGGAAAATATGGGTGTCACTTGGTGTTCCTTTGAAAGTAATTATATCTTAAGAACATAGTATCATGAATGGAGTGGACAAGGGAGGCTGGAGAAGCCATTTTTCTTTGTAGATATAAAGCATTCTCTATGATTGTTGTATAATAAATTGATTTTTACACTAAATGCATGTTGCAGGTTTTATTTGGTTCAAAGAAGTTAAAATGTATGCCTGCATGGTAAATTCCAAATGACCTATCACTTGGGGGCTATTTTTACAATAAGGCATTATTTTAGCAATGAATTTTAGACATTCTTATTTCAGTGAGCAATGGGTTATTATATCATTACCATTACTTTGTACTCATATACCAGATTAAGCTATTTCAAAAAGTAGCCAATCAGAAGAAAAAGTTAAGATTAGCAGAGGATATAAAGGTGATAATAAACTAATAAATTGCTCTATAAAACCACCTGGAGAGGAGCTCTAGATTTGAAGAGAAACGACACTGTGCAATGCCCTGAAACCCGGGACTGCCCTTCACAGAGCACCTGCACTGGTAGAGAGGTGGTTAGCTCAGCTCGGGAGGAGACGTAGGTGAGAGGCCTGACGGTGAGGATGCCTGGGAGAGTTGAGGCAAGGGGCAGGACCACAGGTTGGCATTTTGTCAGTGTAGAGAGTACAGTTTTGAACGTGATACCGAGTATAATGAGACACAGGTCCTAAAGAACTCTACAAAAAATGTGCTCAAAGTCTGATCACAAAGTTGCTTAAATTGCTGGATAGTGACAGGTGGGACAAGATAGATTTCCGGGAAGGGCAGAAGGGGAAGAGGGAATGAGAGAAGACTTTTAACTATCTGAATGGGGGCTAGAGTTTGGGGTGGGAGGCTACTATTTAAACAGGAGGCTTCTCTTTGTTATTTAAAATGGTGGGTAAAACTTAAGAAAACTTTGTGTTTAAAAATAAGAGAGAAATCCTCTGTCTCTCCGGCAAGCCTAATAACTGTTGTCACAAACTAAAAGAACTGCTTACACAACAAGTGTTCACATACATAACCCTCTTAATTCCTTCACGTAAAGAAAAAATTCAGCATGTGTTTTTGTTACCGCAGGCTTTCTTCCAAGACAAATTACATTCACATATTTAAGGAAGAGTTTCTCTCCAGGGCATGCAAGGAAAGAATCACTCCTAGGAGACTAACCCTAGTCATCTCAGGATTCCTTGACCTTCAGTAAAACATGACTTTGAGTCGTAAGGGGAAAAAGACTGAAAACTATTGATTTGTAGGTCATTTTTCCATCTTAAATTGCACTGCAGACACTGGAATAACAATGGGAGGACAAGGAAATCTGTAATCCAGACCCCCATTGAGCAACTGGTAAATTCAGTTGTTAGATATAGTGAACTCCAAGTTCGTCTTCAAAGAATCAGTATGTCAGTTATGTTCAGCTCTCTTACTCTTTAATTCTCCATTTTAAAGTTTAACTTCCTTATAGTTTCAGTAAACAACCTTTTCTACCAGTTCTAATCAGTAGTTCACATCTGTTTCCCCGGTCCCCTGCTCTATCCTGACTTGTCCTGGTCACCTCCTCTGGTCACCTGCCCTGCTCACCTGCTTTGATCTGAGTTACCCCTGGTTACCTGCTCTGACCTGTCTCATAGCTATCCTTCCTGCCAAACTACCCACTCTGCCACTCCAGCTCATACCCCTGCTCTAAAATAGCCAATCAGAATTAGCCTAGACTGTGTGGTCTAACCCTAGCCAACAGGGGAACAACATAGCAGTAGGGGCTACCTCCATCAGGAATAAGAACTCCTTCCCATCCCTTGTCCAGGTGTGTGCTCACCATTGTTATATCTGTGAGCCGCACCCTTCTATAGAAGTAAATTGCCTTGCTGAGGAAATTTATATTCAAGTGCTATTTCTTTTGTGGCACTGAAAATTTACCTATAACAAGTTCATTGTGGATCTTGTGAGCAACCCCCCAGGAGCCTGCTCTGAAAGTGTCTGTGACCAAATCACATTTGGTAGGCTGAGGAAGGTGAAGCTTGTCACACAACCCTTGATGCTGCATGTGCCATAGTCTATGGCTACCTGGACTCCTTCAGATGGGCATTTTCTCTTGTATTTGCCACAATCACCATCACTCCATCACTCATCTTTTTTTTTTGAAACAGCCTCACTCTGTTGCCCAGGCTGGAGTGCAGTAGCATGACCTCAGCTCACTGTAACCTCTACCACCTGGGATCAAGCAATTCTCCTGCCTCAGCCTCCCAAGTAGCTGGGATTACAGGCATGTACCACCACTCCCAGCTAATTTTTTTTTTTCAGTAGAGACAGGGTTTCACCATGTTGGCCAGGCTGGTCTTGAACTCCTGATCTCAGGTGATCTGCCTGCCTTAGCCTCCCAAAGTGCTAGGATTATTGGTGTTAAACCACCACACCCAGCCCACTCATCCTTTTTATTCAGCCTATTAACCTGGCTGGCCCCTGAAGGCATTTGAATTTGTGTTGCCTACACATTAAACAAAAAAAGGAGAAAGTCTATACATTTTGCCTGGGCCCATATGATAAACTTAGAGGGAGATAAACACAGATATATCGGTAGTGGCCCTAGAAACATGATAGATGTTGCAGATTTCTCTGAAAGATTGAAGCATTCTACATAAGATAGTTCATGTAGAACCAGCTTCTATTCTTTTAAAGCTAGCTTAGAACAATGGAGTTTGATAAACTCTGGAAATGGTTATATTCAGTTGAAGAATTCATCAAATCTTGTCCAGTGCTATGTATAGTAGGGATACAGAATTATCCAGATGAAATATCTGTCCTCAGAGTTCACTGTCTAGTAAAGTAGATCAATGTTTGGTTATAAAATAAATATTGAGGCCGGGTACAGTGGCTCATACCTGTAATCCCAGCACTTTGGGAGGCCAAGGTGGGCAGATCACCTGAGATCAGGAGTTCAAGACCAGCCTGGTCAACATGGTGAAATCTTGACTCTACCAAAAATACAAAAATTAGCCAGGCGTGGTGGCACACACCTGTAATCCCAGTTACTCAGCAGGCTGAGGCAAGAGAATTGCTTGAATCCAGGAGGCAGAGATTACGACGCTGCACTCCAGCCTGGGCAACAGAGCAAGACTCCATCTCAAAAAAAAAAAAAAAAAAAAAAGTTGCCAGAGAAACATCCCTAAAAGAGGTAATGCCTGAGGTTAGTTTTGATGGGTGAATAATTCAAATAGACTTCAAAGAAAGTAGTGTTTAAAAGCCAAGGAAAAGAGAATATTTAAACAGAGTAAAATTCTGCAAGGCAGCAAGGTGAGCAGCTAGGGAAAGGGAAAAGAAAAGTCCCTGGGAGGCAGCTGGCAAATTGCAGGGGGCTTTAGAACGAATGGGAAATCAAAGGAAAAAAAATGTTCAAGCAAGCCATATGAAAATTCTTCCTAAGAACTGGGGATGGGAAGGAACAGTTACAGTAGTTGCCGAAAGGGAGGAGGAGCTAAGGGGTGTGTGTGTTGAATACTTTCCGGAGAATTTGAGTGACTGCATCTGAGGTGGAAGAAGAGGAAGCAATAAGAAGCCGGCCCCTTGCTCAGCTCATGGGGCAGGGACAGGGCAAGCCTCAGGTGCCTTTGTCACCACAGAGAAAAACTTGCAGAACAATGCTGGTGAGGCTGCAGAGAAAAGGGAACATTTACACACTGTTGTTGGGAATGTAAATTAGTTCAGCCCCTGTGGAAAGCAGTTTGGAGACTTCTCAAAGAACGAAAACCTGAATTACCATTCAACCTGGCAAGCCCACTACTCAGTATCTCCCCAAAGGAAAATAAATTGCTCTATCCAAAAGATACCATCATTCGTATGTTTATCCAGCACTAGCCACAATAGCAAAGACACGGGATCAACCCAGATGCTCATCAATGGTAGATTGGATAAAGAAAATGTGGTATATATACACCATGGAATACTACACAGCCATAAAAAAGAATGAAATCATGTCTTTTGTAGCAACATGGAAACAGCTGGAGGCCATTATCCTAAGCAAATTAATGCAGGAACAGAAAACCAAATACCACATATTCTCACTTATAAGTGGGAGCTAAACCTTGGATACACATGCCCATAAAGGGGAAGAGTTGACACTGGGGACTCCAAAAGGCAGGGGTAGGGGGATTGAAAGCCTTCCCATTGGGTACTGTGCTATTTGGATGACAGGGTCAACAGAAGCCTAAACCTCAGCATCACACAATATACCCTTGTAACAAATCTACACATACACCTCCTGAATTTAAAACTTTAAAAATGTTAAAAACCATAGATTTCAACTGAAACTGAATGATGATCCAGAAAAGAAAAGATGACACTTCCCTATCATCATCTATGGCCTCTAACAAATCCCCCTGAACGCAGTCAGAGCCCCAAATCTTGCAAAAAATTGGCCTCGGTCTTTGTCACAGGAAGAAGGATGGGGAAGGAGTCAGGAGGGGAGGGTGGTTCCACAGGCCTGGTCGGCTGAAGTTACCAGTGCAAAAGCCAGGAGTTCATCTGCTGCCTGAGGGCAAAGCAAATCCCAGGGGGCGTGGCTCAGAGGATGGAAGGTCAGAGCACAGAGGAACACCCAAAATGACAAATGAGGCTAAGCCACAGATGGCAAGAGTCTGCTGGGGTAGCTATTGGGCTGTTCCCTGCTACGAGTGAGTCAAAAAGGCAGGGCGCCTGGATGCAGAGCTGCGAACAGGCCAAGACCGGCTTAGTCCCCAGGGTCAGAGTGAGGAAGCTGATGCTGCTCTTATTCCCCAAGAGCTGGCTGTCAGCATCTCCAGGATGCCTCCTGGTCCAGCCCTCTCTCCGTGCTGCCTGGAAAAGGGCATCCATTCCCGCATGCTGCCACGCCACCCTGCCTTTCCAGGCCAGGGCAGCTCACACACTACCCAGGCTGTTTTCACGTTTCTTTGTGTAATTGCTGGACTGATGTCTGTCTTCCCATCAGACTGCCACTCCTTGCAGGCAGGGGCAAAATCACATGGAATCCTCAGCACCTAGCACAGCACATGGCACACAGGAAGTGCCCAGTAAGGATTCGCTGAAGAGGACAATGTTGAGTAGAGCCTCTCTGGTGAGTATTTTCAAAGAGATGTCCGAATATCTCAAGCTCATTGTTTTTGCAATTTCCATCAACCCATCCTCAAAATCAGCTCTTTACGTCTTACACCTGCCATGGCCTCTCAAATCTCTGTCCCCTCTTTCATTCTCAGTCCTACTATTCTAGTTGAAGCCTTACTGCAACCATAACCTACCCCAGTGTCTTGAATGCAGCCTTCATACTGCTACCAGATTAGTCTCCCAAACCACTGTGTTCCTGATGTCTTCAGTGGCTTCTTCTCACCTACAGAATAAAGTCCTACTCAAGCTGGCAAAGACACTTTAATCTGGGCCTAGCCAAATTTAATTCTCACCAATACTCCATAGTATTATGGCCTCAAATAAATTCTGTATTTTTCTTCCTCTCTTCTCATTTTCATGATAGCACCTCTTTCCTAATCCTAGAAAAAACCTCCTTCATCCTTCAAGATCTACTCCAAGTGATACCCCTCCTCCAGGAAGCCATCCTGCTCACCCCAACAAAAATGACTTCTCCCTCCTCCTAACTCTGATGGCACTCACTTTACACTTCATTTTAACACTTGTCACATACAGCCTTGATTTACAGTGATCTGGGTGTCTTACTATCCTCTCTAGACTAATTTCTTCCCAGCTAAGATAGTGTCTTATCCATCCTACCATCCTCCATGTCAGCTAACTCAAGGAGTTGTTGAGAACAGTGCTCAGATATATGCTCACTAGGTACTGAAAGTCATAAATTCTTCAGATGTACTTCGATGAAGACAGTCCATGTAATGGCACTGAAATCCATATACTCCCAGGTCACAAGAAACTGTGAGGTCTGAACTGGATATACCTAAATGAAATGAAATTAGTTAACCTCATTCATGTTTTTTGATTTAAAAAATAAGTGCTCTTGGCTGGGCGTGGTGGCTCAACGCCTGTAATCCCAGCACTTTGGGAGGCCAAAGTGGTAGATCACAAAGTCAAAGTGATCAGGGCCATCCTAGCCAACATGGTGAAACACCGTCTCTACTAAAAGCACAAAAATTAGCTGGGCACGGTGGTGCGTGGCTGTAATCCCAGCTACTCGGGAGGCTGAGGCAGGAGAATCACTTGAACCTGGGAGGTGGAGGTTGCAGTGAGCCGAGATGGTACCACTGTACTCCAGCCTGGCAACAGGGTGAGAATCTGTCTCAAAAAAAAAAATTATAAAGAAAAAAGATGGCAAAATTGAAATTATAAACATTGTTTTAGGCAATATAAACTACAAATAACCTACATAATGAAACTAAGTTTTATTACATCATGAATAAAGTATTCAGTCTGCAGTCTTTCACTTCACTTATCCAGTCATGAACAAAGTTACTTTGTAGATGGCCTTAAATTATGTAGGCTTCATTTTTCCAAAACAAATTCAAACGCTTAACTGTTTGTGCAACTGCATGCCCTCAAACTTCATCATTTAGTAATTCATAACCATGTGGTGAATATTTCTCCTCTGCTAAAGGTAACACTTTGGTTGAAGTGCTGGAGAAATGAGAATATTTGCACATCAAATGAGACCTCCTAAAAAGTTTATTTTCAAAGCATACCACAGGCTGGGCATGGTGGCTCATGCCAGGAATCCCAGCACTTTGGGAGGCTGAGGTGGAAGGATCACTTGAGCCCAGGGGTTTGAGATCAGCCTGGGCAACATAAGACGACTGTTTCTACAAAAAAAAAATCAGAAACTAGGGTATGGTGTGGTGGTGCACACGTGTAGTCCCAGCTACTCAGGAGGCTAAGGCAGGAGGATCACTTAAGTCCAGATGCTGGAGGCAGCAGTGAACTAGGATCTTACCACTGCACTCCAGCCTGGGCTACAGAGCAAGACCCTGACTCTAGAAAATAAAAAATAAATAAAAAAGTAAAACCACCATTTTCACCTGTGCTATTTTCATCATCTTCAACTCAAATTTCTCCTGTATACACAGTTTAATGTACCTCTTGGAGATACAAAAAACTTGAAGACACTTCTCCAACAAAAAAAGTCCATTTTACTTTTATAATTATTAAAAAAGCAACACCGCTCCAAGTTGTTTAACACCTTGAACATTCTATTAATACTATCTGACCAAATTTTAATACAAAAGGTTAATTTTTATGAACACATGGATAATAACACAATTGCAAACTACCAACATATTTTCCATCTGAACTCGGCAGGTCCCAGGGATGCTATTTGGAGTGGAGGAGTTTGAATGCATACTGAGCACCGAATGCATGCCAAGCACCGAAGTCTGGCTAACGTGGCCCAAGCCAACGGCAACCTTGCTCTTTATCTTCCTCTGCAGGTGGCCCAGGCTGGCAGAAAAGGAAAAGGAGAGCAGTAATTACTCAAGGCGGAACTGTCCGCCTCTTGGTCCCTAAGAACCCTGTGAGCCAATATGAGCATCACTCCTTTTTATCCTCCACATCACTAACTCAGGTATTCAGTGAAGCATCTCACATGGTTGCCAAGCATCTTACATATCAGTGTCCTCAGTGGAAACTGCCTGGTTATCCTCAGAAATCTCTTCAACACATGCCACTCTGAAGATGTACATGCCATCTCTCGATAGTCTACTATAGCAGGTGATTTTGCTGGATGCTGGAGATAAGACAGCTCTTTCTTTGTTACAGCATCAGACGAAGTGGGTGGCCTGGCGTTAGGGGCCACACTAGGAAAACTGCATGTTGTTAGTAACCAGATTGGCAATCAGCCCAATTATTATCATTATAATTACTTTAAGATGGAGTCTCACTTTGTTGCCAAGGCTGGAGTGCAGTGGCATGATCTTGGCTTACTGCAACCTCTGCCTCCCAGTTCAAGCAATTCTCCTGCCTCAGCCTCCCAAGTAGCTGGAATTCCAGGTGTGCACCACCACATCCAGCTAGCTTTTATATTTTTAGTAGAGACGGGGTTTCGCCACATTGTCCAGGCTGGTCTCAAACTCCTGACCTCAGGTGATCCGCCCACCTCAGCCTCCCAAAGTGCTGTGATTACAGGCATGAGCCACCGTGCCCTGCTTATCAGCCCAATCAGATGTCCATAAATAAGAGGTTGGTAGGAGCTGATATCAACTGAAGGAACAGATTCTTCCATCACACCTACACTTCAGGGCACATGCCTATTGAGAAGAATGGCAGAATCACCTGTGCAATGTAAGTTATTTCTCCATTTTTTTCTGTGTGTGGCATGTGTAGTTTAATTCAGGCATGACAGACATTTCTAGTTACCTATCCAACACCTGTCCTCCCCTGTTTCCTTATTAACAGAAGCCCCCACTTTTGGGGAATGCTGTGACACACTCAGTCAAATTTTCACCTCTCCAGATTCCCTAGTAACGAGGGTGAGCCATGTGATCTAGTTCTGGCCACTAAGATGCAGACAAAAAACATATCAGCTTGGGCTTCCAGGAAAACTGTTTCCCCGATTTAAAAAAGTGGGGAGGGAGCTGGGCATGGTGGCAGACACCTACAATGCCAGCATTTGGGGAGGCTGAGGCAGGAGGATCACTTGAGCGCAGGAGTTCAAGATCAGCCTGGGCAACACAGCAAGGCCTCATCTCAAAATAAACTAGATAACTAAAAAATGAAAAGAGGGAGGGTGTTGGTACACATCTTTTACCTTTTACTTTTACTCAACCCCTTCTTCCTGCCTGGGGTATAGAAAAGATACCTAGAGGTAGAACAGCCATGCTGTGATTACAAAATCCCATCAAATCCCAAGTCACACAAAGAGGGGTCAAGCAAAACCCTCAAAGAACCCAGGGCTCTAATGACTAAAGCTGCTATACCACCAGCCCTTGACCACCTTGTTGCTCTTCACAGGGAAAAAAATAAAAGCCCTATTTGTCTTAGCTGCCAGAGTCCAACTGCTGTCACATGTGACCAAATATAAGATGCACATTTAATTCACATTTAATCTAATTCTCTATTGGAGCTGGGAATTATTCCAATATTCTTAGCCCAGATTAGTCTCTTTTTAATATCCTCTTTTAGTCCTATTTTGATTTGAAGATTTGTTGTTATTGCTGTTTTGTCAAAAGAAAACAGCTTTTTTCCTCTGTAATGTAATTAATTCAAGATAGGTATACAAAGATATTCACTATAAGTTTTTTAATAATAATTAAAAATAACCTGGCTGTTCATCATAGGGAAAACAATGTATAAGTTATAGGGTGTTTATAAACTATTTTGCAGTTATTAAAAAAAACAAGATCTATATTGCTGCCTTAGAGGTGAGTCCTATTTTTACTGCTGAGTGAACAAAGAATATATATTTAGCCCATCACTAAAACATATATATAGACCAGGTGCAGTGGCTCACGCCTGTAATTCCAGCACTTTGGGAGGCTGGGGTGGGTGGATCACCAGAGGTCAGGAGTTTGAGACCAGCCTGGCCAACATGGAGAAACCCTGTCTCTACTAAAAATACAAAAACTTCGCCAGGTGTGGGTAGGAGGTGCCTGTAATCCCACATACTCAGGAGGCTGAGGCAGGAAAATCGCTTGAACCTGGAAGGAGGAAGTTGCAATGAGCTGAGATTGCGCCATTGCGCTCTAGCCTGGGCAAGAAGAGCCAAACTCAATCTTAAAACAAAAACAAAATCATACACGTATACATGTGTAAATACGTATGTACATTCTTGTGTAAGCATCAGAATAAGCCTTTGGAGGAATATACTCCCAACTTTCAAGTGGTGGTTATCTCTGGATCATGGATAAGAGAAAAGGCCGGAGAGAGGGAAAAAAAATTAGCTCCTTATAAACTTCTATGTTGTTTGAGTTTATTACACAAAAGTAATTCCTTTCGATAAGTTGTAAAAACACAGAACGGCCTAAGATAGAAATTAAATTTACTTTAAATATCACCACACAGAAATAAACCCAGCTGACATTTCTAGAACATCCATTTAGAATCTCAACCTCTTACTTCACATGCAATTACATAAATACATGCAAATTCTTGTCTGCCGTAACCGCCCTCCCACAGCCGGGTTATCTCATTAGTCATTCCTTCTCATCCTCTTTTGCGGGCTTCAACTCCCCTACCTGACTTCAACACACTGGAGTAGCCCAGGAATGTTGTCCTCTCTATACTGAGTCCCTAGGTCAACTCATTCAGTCTATGTCCAGCCCCCAGCCATGAGCTTCAGTCTCAGATATCCAGGAACCCACATGACAGTGCCATTCAGATGCTGAAACCACATATGGAATGTATGTCCTGAATCTCTTTCATATCAGTCCTCATCCCCCTCCAGTCAATCAACCGGACCTTCCCCAATCTCCTCCACCTCCCTAAGTGACACCGGTTTTCACCCAGTTGCTCAAGCCCCAAACCTAGAAGTTGTCCTTGATCCTGCCTTTTCCCACCTGTCACATCCAAGCCATCAGCAATCCTTCCAGATCCTTCTCTACTGCCCACATCATCCAATTCTTCACTCCAAAACACACATGCCTTTGAAAATAGCCCTTTGACTATTACCCACTAATTGCAATTGGAATAAAATCCAAACTCCTTACCATGGGCATGGCCTATAAGGTCCTGAGTTACCCTACCATCCCCACCCATATCCCTCCTAACTTCATCTTATGTACTCTGCCCTTGCTCCTTCTACTGGGCTCTCCCTAAATTCTTAGACTATACTAAGTATATTAGTATATTAATATACTTAACCTCAGAACATCTGCCTGGGCCATGACCTCTGAAATGGACTTCCTCAGCCTTCAGATTTCACCTCAAATGTCAACTCCTGAGAGAGGTTCCACTGGACCTTTCATCCTCCCATGCTGTGAGCCTTTCTGGTATCCACAGTGTTTTCCTTCTTAGCACTGGCATGAATCCTCATCTGTTTCCTTAATTACCACCACTCAACCCTATAGTACATACACCATGAGGTCAGGGACCTTGTGGATATTATTCTACCCTCGCATCTAAGACAGTCCCTGGCACCCAAAAGACTTAGCTGTTTATTGAGTAATGAGCATACGCATACTCTCATAACATTTCATATAAGTGGGACCATGTCATATATGCTACTTTGCGATTTTTCACTTACTGTTAAACATTTTCTCAAGTCAGTATCATCTAAATCTTTCTTTGTAATGGCTACCTGGCATATCATATGACTATATTTAGCTGAGCATCTAGGCACTTTCCATTATCTCCCTATTATGATCAAGTTTGTAATATATATTATTGCACATATCTTTGTACATGTCCAATTTGATCTTTAAGATAATTTCTTAGAAGTGGAATTATCAGGTCAAAAATAACAAAGCACAGTCTTGGACATGAAAGCAGTTTAAAAAAAAAAATCCATCTATTTCATTTACTCTCAAGTTAAAATTAAACCAAATCCATGTTCTGCAAAAATAATTACTATACTCTTCAAGGTAAATGGAATTACATCCTTATAAAAATATACTTGGATATGGAGTCTGCTTACAAAATCTACTTTAGACCTCTAAATTGAAGGAAATCCCCAAGTTGCTATCTGTATAAAAAGGTCTGTTATTAAATGCTGTGGGAATGAACAAAATAATATTCAAAGAATCCAGCTGGGTAAGAGGGTTGCTATCCTTAAATAGACTGTATCCAAGAACAGAATAGTCGGTGGTTGTCTCACACATTCCATCCTTATTTACTCTGCGAGCCTCCACGACTATGCCAGAAAACTCATGAAGTGGTAGCACCATGAGCTGATGGACCATCAGCAAAGCAGAGGGCTCTCAGCAATAACTATAAACTCCCTCCTTTGAAAACCTCAGAGTCAGTTCCATTGGTCTCAGATCCCCTTGCTTTAGTAGCTGCTGAAAGACAGTCATCACCACCCATGCCCTCACCTGATGCTGTGTGTACATGTCCTCCTGAACCCAGTCTATCTACAGCTCTTCCCTGCCTTCCCCACTCCCTGAGGTCTTCCTCTTCTGCCCCTACAATTCAAGCTGTCAGCAGCAAAAAAATATCCTCAGCCTCTTCTAGAAGAAAATATTTCCTCTCCTCTTTAACTAAAACATGGCTGGTTTCTGAAGGTACCACCTCCCCGACACCCTGACTCAACTAAAAGCTTTTTTTTCCTCTGATACTCCATGACTTCCTGGCCAGGCAGAGGGGTAGCATTCTCCTTGCTCCCCACTGCCACACGAGGGCATGACTCTGACTCTCATAGATACCTCCCTGCTGATGTTTATGTCATCAATTTGCATTCTACTATCAGCCTTCTGGCCCCTTTGTCCATTGGGCCCTGGTTTCTATCAGGTTAGCAGTAATTACAGTACCGTCATGAAGTCTCTGCTTTCAAGCTCTGACTTCTTGGTTCTTCAACTCCTTCCCTTCTCTAGTAGTTTCTTCAGTGCCACCACAGCTATGTGCACCCAACCTACAGTCATCACAGACGTCTTGATTCTCAACATCCCACATTCTGACCACATCTTCCTGGCCTTTCACCCACTTCTAATTGCTTTGGACTTGTACCAATACTTTTTTTCTGATTTGTTTTTCAATCATGTTCTATCTACTTTTTGTCCTCTCCTTGTCCTTATACATTAGACTCAGTTGGTCAGGTTTCAAAAAATAACCCTGCTGGGGCTTTGAAAGTGGTAGATTTAATTCCTTTACTAATTTAGGGAAATTGACATCTTTATGTTATTCTATCTCCCACCCGTTGGTCCTGATTTTACAATAATACATTTAGAATTTCATGATTAAGCAGAATACTGGCTTTTGGACTGAGATTTATCATACTACAGAGTAACTAGTTACTACTATTTTGTTAGATTTTATGCAAATTCAAAAACAGATGTAGAATTTTCAAATGCTTTTGGAAATAAAGACAACCATAATGATTTTTCTCACTAGATCTATTAGTAATTAATGTATTACTAGATTCCCTAATATCAAACCATCTTTGCATTCCTGGACGAAATCTCACTTGGTCATGACATACTATTCCTTTAATATCCTGCTAAATTCTGTTTGCCAACATTTTATTTAGAATTTTGGCATGGTTATTATCATTATTATCATTATTTTTGAGATGGAGTCCTGCTCTGTTGCCCAGGCTGGAGTGCAGTGGCATGATCTCAGCTCACTGCAACCTCTGCCTTCTGGGTTCAAACAATTCTCCTGCCTCAGCCTCCTGAGTAGCTTGGATAACAGGTGCCTGCCCACCACCATGCCTGGCTAATTTTTTTATTTTTAGTAAAGATGAAGTTTCACCATGTTGGCCAGGCTGGTCTCGAACTCTTGATCTTCGGTGATCCACCTGCATCAGCCTCCCAAAGAGCTAGGATTACAGGCATGAGGCACCACGCCTGGCCTAGAGTGATTATTTCAAGTGAGATTGTTCTGTACCTCTCTTTGCAATTTTTGTTGCATTTTGATATTGTAACAAGATTGATTTAAAAATTAGGAAATTTTTATTCTTCTATGTGCTAGAATGTTTGAACAGCACTAACACTATCCTTCTTTTAAAAAGCTAGTAGAATTCCTCTGTGATGTAATCTGGATCATATGCATGTTTGTAGGGTATTTCTTTGACAACTTTGTCTCTCTTCTATGAAGATTTTTCTGCTAAGGTTTCCCATCTATTTAGAAGTCCATTTTATTAAACTGTATTTTCCTGGAAAATTGCCCAGTTACTCCAAGTTCTCATCAAAACTTGGATGTGCACAGACATTGAAAGTTAAAATATTAAGTAAACTGTAGTTCCTGCTTGACCCACATATTCCTCCCACTCTGAGGCTTCCTTATCTCTCTAATGGGCAACAAACACCATCCATCTCGTTGCAAAAGACAGAAACCTAGGAGACTGATTTCATTCTTCTTCCTTTACCTATTGCTTCCAGCTATCAGCAATTTATTAACTGTAGCTCCAAAATATATCTGAAATCTCTCTATTTCTCACCACCTCCACTGCTATCCTCCTGCTTAAAACCACCATCTTGGACCCAAAAAGCTTTCTGGTTGAACTCTCCTCTCCCAGTCTTCATTCCTCCCATCAATTCTTAACATAACAGCTTGAGTAATTTTCTTAAAATATAAATCAGGCTAGATTACCCTAATCTATTCCTAGATTATCTTGTGTACTTGTACACCCATTATTTTATATACTTGTATACTATTGCTAGATTAGGGTCATCAATGCCTTCACAAAAAAACCCTGTATATTTACTCTAACTCTTAGTATAAAACTCAAACTCCTCAACGTGGCCAATGAAGCCTTACCTCATTGAGGGTCTACCGTGCTCCCAGCTTCACTTCAAATAACTGTCCCCCTTACTGTTTCTCAAAGATGACCTCACCTGACCCTGTTGCTTTAAACCACAAGTCTAGTTTCTTCTTATTCTGAAACTTCACATTAAATGTCATTTCCTCGGAGACCTTTGATGAGCAACCTATCTTAAGCTGACACTTCATATCACTGCTCTCACCTTGTTAATATCCCTCAAAGCACTTATTTACTTGTCACTATTTTATTTGCTATTTTTCTATTTCCCTTCAAAAAATATATCTTTTAATGGGGTTGCCTCCATTGAACAAGTTTGTGTGTTACCCATTGGACAGGTTGAACAAACCTAATCTAAAAATCTGATATCCAAAATGCTCCAAAATCTGAAATTTTAAAAATATCAATGGGACACTCAAAATAAATGTTCACTGGAGCATTGTGAATTTCAGATTTTTGAACTAGGGATGCTCAACCAGTGTATATTCCAAATATGCAAATATTCCAAAATCCAAAACATCTGAAATCTGAAACACTTCTGGTCTAATGCATTTTAGATGAGGGATACTCATCCTGTATCTCTATGTCCATCATAGTGATTGATGCAGGGTAAGCATTCGGCCATAAACTCTTACTGAAGGAATAACCAGACCCAAAAGGATAATTTCTAAGATGGAAGAAATTGCTATGAAGGAGAAGCTCCACTGCAGAGATGTCATATGAACAAAGCGTTATCTTTTAGAGCTTGGCCCCCGCCCTGACCCCAATTCACATCCACTGAACAATGCAAATCTTTGCACCTACCTGAGAGATACAATCATAAAACCAGGCTTTGACTTTCCTTATGAAGGCTTAGTTGGATTGAGCCTGGAAGAAATTGGTTCATCTCTTATTATACTCACATTAGACAATTTAAAAACAAGAACATACATACATCCACATATCGAGTTATTTCACAGACCATTTTATATCACAGACCGTTATAACTCACATATCAGAGTTATTTCACAGACAATATATTACATTATATTATAGACAACAACAACCCAGGATATTAACATAAGAGATTAACAAGTTCACTTGATTCTATTTTATGCATTCTGTCAGTACCACTGGCCCACAACATATGCAGAGGTATTTCATGGGCACCATCAAAGCATTGAATCTGTTAACTCCTTGTAGTTCTAAGCTAGGGGCTTGAAATAATCCAGACTGAGGGATATTCTTTTCATTTCAGCAGCAAAACACATAGGCCATCACTCACACGAAAATGTAAGAACAGATGAGGGATACCTGTTTGACCTTGATTGAGGCTTACTAACCTCTTGCAAGGCCCTTGCACATCAAGCACTCAGCCCAGGGCCAGGCACCCATAAGCACTCAGTGTGAGCTAAGAGAATCACCATCATCCCTCATTGGCAAGCAAGAAGGAAGTTTTTGTAGGTGTTTGGAAGAGAAAAGAACAAATGCAAAGCCCCGAGGCAGGTATATTTAGGAGATGGATGTTCTTTAAGGGATTCTAAATTCACACAGGGGCCTGTTATCAAAGGGAGATGAATGGAAATAGTAACTAATATCTTACAGTGTTTGAAGAGACAGTTGCCTAAAATTGGGGGTTTCAGTCAAAATAAATGAATCCCCCAGGTTTCAGAAGACTAGAGGATATAATAATCTCTAGTGCTTCCCACAGTGTGGCTTTTTATCAGCTGTTCTCAAAGTGTGTCTGGGGAATCCCTAAGAAACCAAAGGTTCTGTGAAGTCAAAATTATTTTGGTAATAATGATAAAAACATTAAGACATTATTTGCTTTTTAAAGTCTTACTCCCTCAAAAATGTACAGTGGAATATCTCAAAGTCTATAGGACTCACAAGAGATTCAACCCAGAAACAGGTAACAGAATCCAGCCAGCTTCTATTAAGCCAGACATTAAAGAGATTTGCAAAAACATGAAGTAATGCTATTCTCCCCACATGCTTTTTGCTGTGAAAAGTCTAGTTATTTTTCATAAAAATGTGTTATTTATATCAACATGAAAAAGTTTATTTTAAAATAAATATATTTTTAAAAATCAGTCTCAATTTTTAATATGAAAAATATTCGCAGATAGAACCCACCATAATACATATATATATATATATATACATACATATATATACACATATACATATATATATATATATATATATATATATATATATAGTTAGCTTTAACTACTATAAATTTATATAGGGACTTCTTTTGATTATTCGAGTGACACAAGAACACTAGAATTTTCCTGCAGGGCAGAGGAGAGGAGTCCACACTCCACTCTCCCCTTCTTCAGGCTCCAGAAGATTGGATGATATCCCCAATGGATAGAAAGAGCAGCCCCAGAGGATGCAGTGATGAATTACAGTACAGGAAGCTGTAGCAGGATCAACCCATTTGTTGTTTAAAAAAATGTGTAAATGAGTAAAATACATTTTACTCATATTTGTATTAGATATATACTGAGTAAGATAAATAGAATATAGTCTATCAAAAGCACAATTTGGTATGTAGCTGAAAATCAACGGTTTACTTAGAAAACTAACATTTTTCTCAAAATCCAATCACTTTAAGTTTTAAAAATACTGCTTAAAAATAAAACAATCGGCAGGGCGCAGTGGCTCATGCCTGTAATCCTAGCACTTTGGGAGGCTGAGGTTGGTGGATCACAAGGTAGTTCATGACCAGCCTGGCCAACTTGGTGAAACCCTGTCTCTACTAAAAATACAAAAATTAGACCGGTGTGGCGGTGTGTCCCTGTAATCCCAGCTATTCGGGAGGCTGAGGCAGGAGAATCACTTGAACCCGGGAGGCAGAGTTTGCAGTAGGCTAAGATCGCACCAACGCACTCCAGCCTGAGCAATAGAAGAAGACTCAGTCTCAAAAAGTAGAAAATAAAAATAAAACAATCAGGATTTTTAATAAAACAGAAATTTGCATGACCCTATTAAGCTTTTCAAGATTTACACTTCTTGTCTGCTATTGTTAGCTTCACTCTGTCCTCAGGGAGGTGCTACAGAAGCGGCTGGTTCGAACAATGCAGTTATTCCGCTAGTTATGTGTGTTCAACCACCAAACTAAAACACTACCTTATACTTCAACCAAGATTTTTCTAGAAAGAACACCTTTTAAAGTACCTCAGCATTTGCAGATCACAGAAAGCTTTCAGATCAGCAGACTGTTTCTCCCAGAATTCCTAAGATTGAACAAAAGCTTTAAGTTAGTGTTATTTTTCCCTGGAAAGATCCAAAGTCAGAACACATTCCAAACAAAAAGAACTTACCAGAACCTCCTCCTCAAGGTGTTCCAAGGCCTGAAGATCCTTCTTAAGACTGCTCAACTCTTGAAGAACCAAATTTTGAAAGCGCTCTAGTTTACTGAGTCTAATAAACATAAAAGCAGTAAACATCATTGGGATGGCTTGGATGTGACCGTAGACATTCTTAATAAGTCATCTGATTACAAGGATACTTCAGATTCTTCTCCAGACATTTCTTGTCAGGAGAACAAGTGGTGTCTCCCTTCTCTTCCCTCCACCGAACCTAGCTGCTCATCCTCAACCTGGAAACCTCACTAAACAAACAACTCTCAGGTGTCTTTCTTCTTCTTCTTTTTTTTTTTTGATATGCGGTTTCATTCTTGTTGCCCAGGCTGGGGTGCAATGGTGCTATTTTTTTTGAGATGGGGTTTCATTCTTGTTGCCCAGGCTGGGGTGCAATGGTGCTATCTCAGCTCATTGCAACCTCCACCTCCTAGATTCAGACGATTCTCCTGCCTCAGCCTCCAGAGCAGCTGGGACTACAGGTGCATGCCATCACATCCAGCTAATTTTTTGTATTTTTAGTAGAGACAGGGTTTCACCATGTTGGCCAGGCTGGTCTCTAACTCTTGTCCTCAGGTGATCCCGCCTGCCTCCTAGGCCTGCCAAAGTGCTGGGATTAGAGGTGTGAGCCACCCCGACCGGCCTCAGGTCATCTTGCAACAGCAGCATGGAGGAAGCTGGGTTTTTTTCAGTAGAGAACAATAGGACAGATGACTCCAGGGAAGATGAGACTGAGGCTCCCCATCCCTTCCTACCTTCCACTTGCTCCCCTTTCTCTTGCATTAAGCTGGCTCTGAAAGCTTGTGGTCAGGTATGGGCTAATACACTCTTCTCCCACATCTACATTTTAGCTTTAAAATTTCGAAGAGTCGTTATTCTTTGTCTACTGGTCATATTTGCTTATTTGTTAATTTTCTTATTTGCTTGCTTATAGTTTGTCTTGTCTATCATTGCTACTAAAATGCCATTGAATTTCATACTTAAAAACAGTTAAAAGGGTAAATTTCATGTTATGTGTATTTTACCACAATAAGAAAACACCATACACACATTTGCACGTGCACACACACACACACACACACCCTTATGACCACGTAACAAGAAATACAAAGGTGCCAGGATCTCAGAGGGATGAGGAAGGGCAGTGGCGGGACGGGTTTCTGTAATGATTCGAGTTAGGTCAAATGCTATTTATTCATCCTACTTCATCCATGGTACAGCATGTGCCATTTGACCCCTCTCTTAAGTCAAATGTTTCATGAAGAGCACCTAAAACTCGTCCTCACCTCACTCTCAAACCAAGCACAGGGCCTGGTATCTGATGTTACTCAGTGTGCATTTGCTGAAGGAATACACAGATAAGTGTGCGCCCCTGAGAGATCATGGGAATTCCACAAATCCAAAGTCCTTCATGGGCTTGTCTGGACATTCAAAGGACATCGAATGCATACCAGACTTAGAAAAATAGTAAACATTTCTATTCAAATAATGTATTCCATCCTGAGAAACTTTTTGTCTCAGTTAAGCAAATCAACTCACCATTCTTTTCTTCCTCCTTCATTTGCAGGTCATTCTCTCCCCAAGGAACAACCTCTGCTTCCCTGTGCCATTCAAATCTTTGTTTCTAAAACCTCCCTCAGGAAGCACTTCCATGGTAATCACTCTGAATTAATTCGAATCATTACAGAAACCCATCCCGCCACTGCCCTTCCTCATCCCTCTGAAATCCTGGTACCTTTGTATTTCTTGTTACATGGTCATAAGGGTGTGTGTGTGTGTGTGTGTGTGTGTACACATGCAAATGTGTGTATGGTGTTTTCTTACTGTGGTAAAATATACATCACTTAGAATTTACCCTTTTAACCATTTTTAAGTATAAAATTCAATGGCATTAAGTACATCCACAATGTTTTGCAGCCATCATCACTATCCATTTCCAGAACTCTTCCATCATCCCAAACAGAAACTCTGTACCCATTAAACAACTCCGACCGGGCGCGTGGCTCACGCCTGTAATCCCAGCACTTTGGGAGGCCGAGGTGGGTGGATCATCTGAGATCGGGAGTTTGAGGCCAGCCTGACCAACATGGAGAAACCCTGTCTCTACTAAAAATACAGAATTAGCCGGGCATGGTGGTGCATGCCTGTAATCCCAGCTACTTGGGAGGCTGAGGCAGAAGAACTGCTTAAACCACAGAGGCGGAGGTTGTGGTGAGGCGAAATCATGCCATTGCACTCCAGCCTGGGCAACAACAGGGAAACTTCATCTCAAAAAACAAAACAAAAAAACACAAAAAACTCCACCTTTCCCCAATCTTTGGCAACCTCTGTTGCACTCTCTGCTTCTATGCATTTGACTATCCTAGGTACACCTCACATAACTGGAGTCATGTAATATTTGTCCCTTATCATCTGACTTCTTTCCTTTAGCATAATGATTTCAAGGTTCATCCATGGTATAGCATGTGTCAGAATTTAACTATTTTTTAAGGCTAACAGACCATTGTATGGATATAGCATATTTCATTTATCCAGCATTTGAAACATACATATCCATGCTTGCCTTGTCTTCATAATTGGATAAATTTTTTAAGAACAGTATTTTAGTATCACAGTAGACCATGAGGAGGCTTAAGAAGGACCATCTAATTCAAACCCTTCTTATATAAATGAATAACCAGAAACGCAGAAGGGTTAAACGATGCATCAATCCTCACAGCTGCTCAGGCCCCAACTCTTCAGGGCCTCAGCACAGTGATCACGAGATAAACATTGCTGGTGAGTCATCATACTTCCATGGCCTTGTTTTGAAATCTAAGACTTACCTGTACAGTTGTATCTGGTTTAAAAGTTTTATTAGGCAATCCAGTGCTTTCTTTGCATTTTCTGAATTAAGTGGACTCTTTCTGCACCTAAGCTAGACCATAACAACAACAAAATGATCACATTTGGGTTAAATATAATTACATTAGTCAAGGGTATTCTTTGTGTTAAAAAGATGCTGCTGGTACATAACGATATTCATAGCAAACATGAGTGCTAAACAAGTGTGATCGGGCATCATCCTCCACACCTTTCAGGTATTATGCCAGGTTCAGTACCAATACAGAACAAGCTAAAATAGAAAAGTTTACACTCACGCTACCTGATATACTTTGCCTATTTGTCCCCACCCAAATCTCATGTTGAAACGTAATCCCTGATGTTGGGAGTGAGGCCTGGTGGGAGGGGTCTGGGTCATGGGGGCGGATTCCTCATGGCTTGATTCCGTCCTCACAATAGCGAGTCAGGACACCTGGGTTGTTTGAAAGTGTGTGGCACCTCCCGCCCCTCGCTCCTCCTCTCCCTATGTGACGCTCCTGCTCCTTCTTGGCCTTCCACCATGAGTAAAAGCTCCCTGAGGCCTCCCTGGAAACCAAGCAGATGTCAGTACCATGCTTCCTATACAGCTGCAGAACCTTGAGCTAATTAAACCAGGTTTTTTTTTTTTTTTTTTTTTGGA